CATTATAAATCTATGAGTTTTCAGTCTTTCGATGATGTTGATAAGATGTTCGGCACGGATAATCTCCGACCCGGTTACGATATGCTAAGGAAGGTAAAACTCAGAGTTTTTTTTTGAAGCTTATTAATATTTCTACTTTATCCAGTGAGAATAATATTTTTCTCTTTTCCAGCGTTATGATGCCGGTGACAAATCATCCGAATTGCTTTGGAGACTTGCCAAGTTTTGCCATGAATTAGCCGCACATACTACCGACAAAGGAAAAAAGAAGGAATTAATTTTTGAAGGTTGAACAGCTTTAAATTGTTTAATACTTTACTCTAACCTTTACTTTGACTCTTTTAGGGAAAGGCTATGCTTTGGAAGGGTACCATGCCAACGAAAATGATTTTCTAGCAGTGAAGTGGGCAGCCATCATGACTGGATCTTCAACAGATTACCTAGGGACTAAAGAAAGAATTGAGGAAGGCGCAAAATTCAAGGTAAATCCAAGAAAATGTAGGATGCTTTGTCAAAAACCTCATTTTAGGAATTCTTGGATAAGGCTTTAGCTATGAACGCAAAAGAGTACACTCTTCTTCACATGCGAGCCAGATACTCCTATTCTGTCGCCAGCCTGTCCTGGTTCGAACGAAAAGTATGACCTCTTCAGAGTTTTTATTACTTCAAATCTAAAAGTACCAGTATTTTCTTAGATTGCCGCTGTTTTCTTCGCAACCCCACCTACAGCTACTATGGAAGAAGCTCTAGAGGATTTTCTGGCTGCCGATAAAGAAAAGCCGGATTGGATAGAGAATCTTATCTACATTGCACGCATCTATTATGCAAATAATGACAAGGTAAGCTGCGTTGATTCAAATTTGCTTTTTTATTGTCATTGAAAGATTGCAAGTTGCAGGAAAATGTAAGAAAGTATTGCAACAGACTGCTCGCACTCAAACCAACGGATGAAGATGAGCGTGATCGTGTCCAAGAAGCGAAGAAAATGTTGTCCAAGTGCTAGAACGGGTTTTATATGCACATTTGATTTTTGCAGTATATAAAGATAAATATATGGCATGCTTTAGCTGGTCCTTTGTAACTAAAT